CACACACACACACACACACACACACACACACAATACAGGCAGAAAGTGCAGCAGAAAAACATTAACATTTAAAACAAGCCGATTGAAAAAAAGCTTACGTATCTTCATTTAGAATAGATGCAGAATGTATTTTTGCAGTTAAATGGCTCTAGGGTTCTCCCCCAGAGTGCATCCTCTCTCTGACTTCAATAATTACAGGTTGCCATAGTAATGGACCACAGTTCTATTACACTACAGCAGAGAATTATACTCTTAATTGTGTGTCCTCAGTCTGAAAATGGTTGATTAATTATGATAGTTCTATTAGTATTGTATTTCATTTGTCTGAACTGGATAAACTGTTCTATTTGTGTTTATTTGTTAATGAAGCAGTGATTGGCTGCAAAAACGGCATGCAGACACAGAAGCATGCACACACACACTCACACATTAACACAGTACTTGGAAAAGCAAGGGTCCATCATGTTTGCTCTTTTAAACTGTTCCTCTGCAGTTTCTACTCTCTAGCTGTGTACTGAAATGAGGCTTTAAAGAACAACACATTTTAAAATAGTATTCTGTTCATGCTTAATGTAGCACACAGAAGAGGACAATCACTGAAGCCTGAACTATAGAAGCTATATGTGTGTGTGTGTGTGTGTGTGTGTGTGTGTGTGTGTGTGTGTAAATCAGAAGAAATGTTTCCTGTTTTATTTCAGAGATATACAGAAAAGTCAACTGACATTTTCTTATTTCTTAAAGGGTTGCTTTGGTTAATTTCTGAACATTACCATGCAGAAAATCGCCAAAACAAGCGGACAGAAACAGACAAAAGTATTTTATGCCTGAAATGCATGAAATTAAATTTTCTGTCACGGTCTCCATGACTGTTGTGTGACCCTTAACCTTGTATTTGTGCTGGGTTTACTGGCATAATTTACCTAGGACAAACTGACCCTTGAAAACAGTGCAGGGAAAAAAGAGAGTTGCAGATTACGATGATTTTAATGATCAATTACTGGATTAGTCGAACAATAGTTTGGTCCATAAATCTTATCCAAAACGTTTTCGAAAAGATTTCTGTCGATCAACTCATGGATTAGTCAAAGCTGGAAAAGAGTAAAAGTACATATAACTTGTACCATTAAACTCCCTTGTATAAAAACATCACAAACATAAATTATGATTGGGCTTGATTTGATCAATAATCTCCTGAAATCATATGTTGACAATAATTGATTCTGTTGAATCATTAAACATAACAAAATATAACCTTAGTAAACAGTCTAATGTTATTTGAATGAGTACACTGGGTACAAGAAGTTCTCCTCTTCACCTGTTCAAACATGTTTTGCAGTAATGCAGGAAACTTCGAAATATAAAAACTCAGTAAAGCTTTGGTCACTCAGGTTTAGTACATAAACTAAATATAGCGTGAAGCAGATCATTCTGTACAAACTAGACCAAGAATGTCCTTTTTTACCCCTACAGGTGGGACATCTCTCTCTCAGCCACTATCAGAGCATTGTCCCAGATCCCCTCCCAGTTCATACCTTTGCTCTTACACAATTTGTGCATTTTTCATAGCCCGTCCCCCAGCCAATCAGGATAGGAACAAAAGTCTCCTTATCTACGAACCATTACTCCTGGTGACCCCTCTCTTTATGTGCAGTACAATGTGTTTCACACTAACAGAAATGAGGATTCTTTGAAAGAGCTTCTACTCCTGCAGACTAAAAGGATCTCACCACCAGACTCCATATTACCTGCTTTTCCCTCAGGAAAGATTTCAACCTGTGGGAGAAGTGTTGAAAGGGATTACCCAGGTGTCTGTGAAGCACCATGACTAGGTTTAAAATCCTGTGCTGTTTGCTGCTCACGTATCACCTCAATGATGGAAAGAAAATCAAAGGACACAAAGGTGAGTGATAAGTTACGTATAAATTATCCAACAAAGTGCGATCAAAGATATTTCTTGCAACTTCCTTGATTAATTGAAAACCAAAATAATATTGTATGACTCCCAAAAAGCCATGTCATACTGTCAGTTCACATCTAATCATGTAATCAATATCACCCACTCTGGTGACAGTTTTGGAACAGGAGTGGCAAAATACAGTTCAAAAGTATGGCCCTTATACTCCTTTAACATATTAAATATCATACTTTGTTTTCTGAAAAAATATGATGCTGATATCATTGGAATCTATGCAGTTTTCTAGTTCTATCTTGTCTTATTGTGAATTTGATTTATATCGATTCTAAATACATTAATTACCAAACAACTGATAACATTATCTGACAAAACTCAATAAACAAGGCGGAGCTTTTATCTCCTTGTATTCTCACATCTCTTTCTTGTAAGATTGTAAAACACTGATTTTGTTTTGTGTATAATCCTAAAAGAGTACTGTTTTGGTATCAGGCCAAAGTCAACTGGCAATTCCTGTTTAAAAATAAATAAAATGGAAAGGCCAAGGACAAATGTGTGATGCCATTCATGTTTTCAAGGAATGGTGAATTAACTGTTACACAACTTGACACTGTTTTGTCGTTGCTGTAAATAAAGAGGATGCAATAAGCCAACTGTCAAGACGTGTGGCTGGGTTTTAGTTTAAAGTTTCTAAAATAATGTTTTGTTTTTTTATTCAATCTGATTCAACATTTGCTTCCACTATGTAAATGTAATGTCCCCAAAGTTTTCTTCCAACGATTTGTTTCGGTGAACAAACACATGCAAGAGGATAACGTTGAATTAAGAGGAAAGTTTTCATAGCACAGTGCATGCAAACAAACAACACTGTGCATTTGTTGTTTTTACAACTTAATGGCAGAAACCATATTAAAAATAATTACAGTGAGATTTATAAAGTACACTCTTGTGCTCTCTTACTGAGTCAGACCATATTTAATTGCTCTCTATGTTCTTATGGATAAACAGTCGTAAAAGTAAAGAGACACACCAAGGAACACGTGGGATTTAACGAGCAGAGGGGTAAATGATGGCCTGATAATTAGTCTTCATTACTTTCACTGTGGAAATGTTTTCATATCAGCAACCAGAGCTCATCAGATGGAAACTGTATCACTGAGCGTTTAGGCGCCTGGGTTTCTAACATTAAAATGATAGAATAATAAATATACTCGACAAGAATCAATGACGAAGCTTAAAGGAGTGGTAGTGATAGATTACCTTTGGAGAAGGATCTATAAAGCTTGTGAGTGACTGTGGGCTGTGGTTTTAAACATGTTAAGGGGGGAGGATTTATATAAGCAAATTACGAGAAGAGTCTGGCATATATTCACATGAAGGGAGTTTTTGTGAAGTATTATCTGTGTGTATTTGCCAAAGAGGTCTGCATGGCGGGAAACACAGACCGTTATTTAGCCTGTACTCCCAGTGAGCCTCAACAGGAAGTGTATTCCCTTTAGCTCTCAAATAATTAAATGAATGAATGATACAAAAAAAACTCCCCTGCTCTTGATAGGATTTATAATCTGAATTGTCACGTTATTTGTAATCATTCACCTCAGAGTAAACACATGCAGTACCTCAGTATGATCCGATATGCAAAGTAACCACGAAGAAAAAACAGATAACCCCTCTGCTGTTGGATTTCCCAGGAGCAGTGAACACCGGGCAGAGTATAGTCCTGGCGCTGAAAGAGTCCTACGTCACCAGCTCAATCTTTAGGATGTTTTTAGAAGGTGAGGACAACTGCACACTGGACCCTCTGCAGCTGCACACTCTCACCTCCTGTGGCTTCAACAGCAGTAATCCCCTCATCATCATCACTCACGGGTGGTCGGTAAGGTCAACCTTTCTTCCACTTCACTGACTTGAGCCACTGCTTACAAAACATGGAACTCAGGCCAGAGTGGAGGAATTGCTGCTGGCATAGTTTCAGATGTTAATGTTCACATAAATCCACAACATCAATGTGAAGGAAACATTTAAAACTCCTTTAAAGCACTTTGAATTGCCTTGTGTTGAAAAGTGCTATATAAATAAAGGTGCCTTTCAAACTCATCATAACTTTAAAAGGTCCCCTATTACACTATTTTTCATCAATATATTATAGTTCTCAGTGATATACAAAACATGTTTCTTGTGTTTGGCCCCGTTTCAAAAGTGCTGATTCTCTGTCTGTTACTTTAGAAAGTTTAGATGAAAATAAGGAGCCACTCCCCACGCCCCTCTGGGAGATATTTGGTCAAAAATAACACAATAGGCGCTTTCTCCTCACTTTTCCCTTTTAGTTCCGATAGTTCCTGGGATTTTGCATTCTCACCAAAAAGAGAGAACTTAGTTCATGAGAACTTTTCCCCCCTTGTCAGTCCCTCCCAGAGAGCAGGTACTTTTCTGGGGAGAAAAAAGTTCAAATTTCTGATTGGCTGGGCGAAAGCGGCTAAGAGGCGCTTTCACACCAAGTACTTTTCCCAGGAATAGTTCCCGGAACTTAATTCCCCAGAACTCTTTAATTCCTGAACTAGTAGATCACGTTCCCACCGGAATAAATCCCTGAGGGAGGATTACGGCCCGTCCACACTTCAGCTTCGACAGCTTCAAAAACGGTTTCCAACGCGTCTGCCCATTCACTTTGAATGGGGTGACGTCACGTTGCCTCGCTTTTCGCCGATCGGTGGAAGCGCAGCCAATCAAATCATATGCCAGTACAAGCTCTAGCCAATCAAACTGCTGCTTGTGTGTCAGGGGCGGGAGATTCTTGTGATTGGTTGTTGGTCGAGCTTCAGACACGCCCGCCGGCAAGCTTTTTTTGAAGCTGTAGTGTGGACGGGCCGTTGAGCCGCTGACGTCACTTCTTCTTCTTCTGCTTTGGGTTTACTGGCAGGCTGCAAACAACTTCACGGCGTATACTGCCACCCGAAGTCCCGGAGTCCGGCTTCGGGTGGCAGTAAATCGCTACCCGAAGTCCCGGGTAAATCGCCAGAATCGCCGACACCTCCTCATCACTCCACCGCTCCCACATTTTATTTTGTGTTGCCATAAGTTAGTCTCCCTCCGTTGGTGCGCTGGGCTAATGCTAATGCTAATAATGCTAATGCGAGCAAATAAAATGGCGGCTTCACAAAAACTTTTCGGCGTTTTGCGGGGCGTGGTTGGCAATTCGCCCTGCCAATCAGAAATTGGAACCTTTTCCTCCCCAGGAAAGTACCACCTCTCTAGCAGGGACTGAAAAGGGGTGGAAAGGTTCCCGATAAAAAGTTCTAGTTCCAGATCTTTTTGGTGTGAACGCAAAATCCCAGAAACTATCGGAACTATTCCCGGGAAAAGTACTCCGGTGTGAAAGCGCCTAATTGTGCTCTAGGAGGAGATTCAGGTGATAAGGTTGGGCGGCGGGGGGGTTGTTACCTTGGTTGGTTATATCTTACACAGGCTCCGCCCTCTACTGGACTCTATGGGTACTACTCTCAATCACGCTATGCGAACATTCACCCACTGAGATACATGAACTAGCCGGCCAATCGGGGCGAGCCTACCTGAATATGCGCGTGAGCACTTCCAGGCTCACTTCTCTCCACAATTCCACACTTCCCCATAATGGTAACCGTGCTGATTCCCCACTCGCCGCCCCAGTTGTAACTCCAGTAAAGGAAGCAGCTAGTGGGCACACACATTTGAGGGTGATAAACCGCAGGGAACGCTGTCAAAGCGCTATGCGGGTGCAGGGACATTATGGCCGGCGTTGTTAGGAGACACACCGAGACTAGCGTAAAAACTCAGATTAAAGCATTTTACCATCTGGGTGAAGGCTGCATTATGGCGGAGCGCACGCTCTCGTGGGAGCGTGCCGCGGTGCATTCAGGGACCTCAGTAGAAAAACGGCCCTTTCTGTGTCAGCCCCCCATGGGCCAAACTTCCTTTCATGGAGAGTTTGGCGGCAGAGTGGTCCGCCAGGGAGTACCACAGCTTCCTAGCTTTGACTGCACAGCTGATTGCTTGTCCCCTAACACAGTGTTACAGGGAATGGAAGCTCAGCTGTGTACTGACAAAGTGGATGGACAGGACACTGAAACGGGGTTACTCACTCCAGTTTTGCGGCATCCCTTCTCCATTCAGAGGTATAAGAGAGGCAAATCTATCATCCCAGGAGGAGTATAGGTTTCCTTTCAGCAGAGATTCAGGCCCTGTTGCAAAAACAGGCGCTGTCTGTTGTGCACTCAGCACAGAGAGAAGGGACTTTATTCCATGTACTTCCTGGTTCCCAAGAAGACAGGGGAATTCAGACCCATTCTGGATCTTCGCAGCCTGAATCAGCACATTGGCTGCAAAAAATTCCATATGGTAACTATAAAACAGTTATTGGAACTAGTGCAGCCGGTCGATTGGTTTACAACCATCACCCTGAAGGACACTTACTTTAATGTCGAAATTGTTCCAAGAAACAGAAAGTATTTGCGTTTCGCCTTCCAGGGGGATAGCCTACGAGTACAACAGACTACAGTTCGGCTACTCCCTATCCCCACGCACGTTCAGCAAATGTGTGGCTACAGCGCTTCAGCCGTTTTGCGACCATGGCATGGGGTTTTCTTTTATCTGGACAACCTCATAGTCATGGCCAGGTCCAGGGAATGGGCAATGTTTCACACAGCCCAATTGATCCTACACCTAACCAAGTTGGGTTTTGCGGTCAATTGGAAGAAGAGCAGTCCCATACCTCACCAGCAGTAGAGTATCTGGGGATGTTGCTCGATGTAGGCAGACTACGTGCCACCCTATCAGAGAGCAGACAGGCATCCCTGCTTCGGGCAGTTTGCAGACTGCGACAGGGGGCAACAGTGACAGCTTTGACCATCATGCAGACTCTGGGTCTCAGTGGTACCGCTGGGGTTGCTGCATATGTGCCGCCAGCAGAGGTGGTTTGCCGGCCTTCGTTTACATCCAAAGAGGCACAAACGACGTCTGGTGACCATCCCCCCCTCAGTGGAGGGCAATCTCCGATACTGGGGGTCCCCAGAGCATCTGCGGAGGGGAACTCCACTGGGGCGAGTGACCTCCTACATCACAGTGTTCACAGACGCATCCGTGACAGGATGGGGGGGGGGACCTGCCTGAAGAGAGCTATAGGTGGTCGCTGGTCTCTGACAGAGACTCGGCACAGCAACCTTCTAGAGCTGCGGGTGGGATATAACGGGGGGTTACGTATTGTAACCCTAGTTACATAAGCACAGGCGGGGCCCTCTACCTGGGGGCCCTGTCTTTCCTATGCCGCTCGCTGAAGAGGGTGTAGGATGACAGTCAGGAGGCGTGGCCGCCTTATATACTGTGGGCCTGCATGCACATTCAGGTAGGCTCGCCCCGATTGGCCGGCTACGTTTATGTATCTCAGTAGGTGAATGCTTGCATAGCATGGTTGAGAGTAGTACCCATAGAGTCCAGTAGAGGGCTCCGCCTTATATAACTAGGGTTACAATACGTAACCCCCCCTTATTGTCTAATGGTTACACAACCCAAAAAAACATTGTGACATCAAATTGGCCAAAATCTGGTCAGCTCATTTTCAGACAGGATTTTATATAAATGGATCAGGACAAGAAGAGAGGGAATCTTTTTTCCTGAAACTTTCAGAATCTCTTTACACAGAGGGGACACATTCATGTATAAAAGACATGACAAAGTGGATTTTGCATAATAGGTGACCTTTAACTTTCTTTCACACCACTGTGTGCAGGTCGTTGTGCTGGATGAGGTTTTGAACCTTACAATCAGGAGTTAAACTGTGTCTCGTTTTTCCTAAGGTGGATGGTATGATGGAGAGCTGGGTGCACAGGTTGGCCACAGCCATGAAGTCAAATCTCATGAACATCAACGTGGTGATTACCGACTGGCTGTCCCTGGCCCACCAGCACTACCCCAAAGCTGCACAGAGCACACGCACAGTTGGAAAAGACATAGCTCACCTGCTGCACTCACTTCAGGTCAGGGGAATGGACGTACAGAGTAAAAATCAGATAGATTGGTGCATTTTATACTGAAGAGGCCGCTAAAGGGTATCATCAACAAAATGACCATGTTTATATCAAATATTTGCCTCCCGTTACCTTGAATTCTTGAACAAAACATTGTTTTTGTTGCATGCCTCCACTGTGAAGTTAGAATACACAATAGACTCAAAATGAAGTCTTGATGAATTGAAGGAAATGTGGGCCACTTTTTAAAACAGCAATAATATCAGTTGACAACTATCACACAACTCGCGAAGTATACAAATATGGTACTTTCCCAGCACATACATTTTAGCTGTTTATGCGGTAGTGATCAGACTTGAATTAGACTGCAAGCGTTGTGTAAGAGTCTGTGCAACAGATGTTTCAATAAAGTTTTGCTCTTGGCAAACAGAGCCCTCATTTACATACATTTGGTAAATTACACAGTATACCTTTAAAAAAAACATTCAAGGAACAGATTTCAGCTGATGAAAATTGGTCTCTTACCTACCATAAAACCCAACAGGTACACTACCAGTTTCCATTTAAAAAGGTTCATTTGATCGGCTACAGTCTCGGAGCTCACATCTCTGGATTTGCTGGGAGCAATCTGGAGAGTTCAGAGAAGATTGGAAGAATTACAGGTGTGTGTTTCTTATGGTAATAATCGTGCTCTCTAATCAAACCAAAACAAATTAGTAAAAGTATATTAATATAATATTTTGTAACAAGATTGAATATTGTACCTGTGCAGGTCTGGATCCAGCGGGGCCCCTGTTTGAAGGCATGTCTCCCACAGACAGACTGTCTCCTGATGACGCTGAGTTCGTGGATGCGATCCACACCTTCACCCAGGAACACCTGGGCCTCAGTGTGGGCATCAAGCAAGCTGTGGCTCATTATGACTTCTACCCCAACGGAGGAGACTTCCAGCCAGGATGTGACCTGCATAACATTTACGAGCACATAAGCCAGTACGGGCTCCTCGGTAAGGTAAAGCACACACAACAACACCTTAGTAAAAGAAAACACATAACAAATATCTGACAAAATTGAAACACTAGAGCTCTGCAAGTCACCCCTAAAAGGCTGTGCTGTTTATTACTCCCTATCAAACCAAACTGGAAAGCTCCTGAAATCATGGTGATGCTTTAAGATATGTGTGTCTCATAGTAGTAAACCATTAATTTTGCAATATCTTCATTACAAAGCTAATTTCCCCACATTTTAAGAAATGTAGGTACCTTTGCAAACGTTTTTAGGTTTCAGTTAATTCAGCACACCACCCTAAAAATGTTTCTAATCTCTTTATTTAGTGTTTTCTAATGTTGTTTGCGATGTTTAAAGAGGCTCTGGTTTAGATCTCAGCTTTCTGGTGGCCTTTACAACCCTGCATCTGTGGAGAAAAAGAAACTCCGTACTGCTTAACTGCTTACTGGTTTGCCTCAACCTCTGCTGTATCATAACATTTTTTTTTATTATTTGGTTTTGCCACCTCAAAAACACTCCGATGGGACCAATTCATCTTTTGCTTGTTGACAGTTTCTGGTTTTGTGTATAGAGGAGTTTAATTCCCTCCAGCCTAACACAAGTGGCTCTGAGGTTTATGGTGTTCCTCGATCCAAAACACATCCGCATAATATGACAGTGAAAGCCACATTAAAGCATCTGTCACCCTTAAGATTTAATTAGCAACATGTGCCTTCCTCCGCTCTGTCCATGCCTCTGAGCTGAGCTGCCTCCAGGCTACAAAAGTGGCCTTAGGGAAAAGGCCTCAGAGAAAAGACCAGTGTCAGACATAATGACACGCTTTTAGGAGATGTGACAGAAGGACGGACTGATCGATGCCAGGGTTCGTTGATAATGAAGTCAATCCACATATAATGGTGTGGTTAAGGTTCTCAATCCACAGGAGAATATTTTGTGTGGAAACGATCTGTATAAATGCAAATCAACGTTGTTAAATCAATAATAAATCTACCATTTTGATTTCCTCCAACAGGTTTCGAGCAGACAGTGAAATGTGCTCATGAGCGGTCTGTCCATCTCTTCATTGACTCTCTCATGAATAAAGACAAGCAGAGCATGGCCTACAGGTGCAGTGGCAAAAGTGCTTTTGAAAAGGGGGTCTGTCTGGACTGCCGGAAGAATCGCTGCAACACGCTGGGCTACAACATCAGGAAGGTCCGCAGTAGCACCAGCAAGAGGCTCTACCTGAACACACGCTCTCGCATGCCTTTCAAACGTATGATGTTGTCCTCTTCATTTCAACCAATCAGCCTCAAGACACACTTATACATCCCTAATAGTCTTATATACTTCATCACTGTTGGTGTATTTATATCCTTAATATCAGTATATAAGTCTGGTGAGTCTTCTTCTCCTCCTTATCCCTTTCTTTGTTCTTCTCTGCAGTCTATCATTACCAGTTCAGGATCACGTGTGTCAACCAGATGGAGGGGATCGAGCCCTCTCTCACCATCTCCCTTACTGGAACAAAGGAGGAGAGTGGAGACCTCCCCATCACTATGTGAGTACAGTACCACCTCCCATCAGGCTTACATTACATCACATCCACGCTCAGTGTTCTGCCTTTGACACATGCAATATGCAGCTGTGCTCTCAACTCTATAAAGACACACATGGAAACAACTGGATCTGCTGCATGAAAGAGGGCTATAAATGGGAATGATGGAGTGAATAATTTACTCAAGACCCTATTTCCTCACTGTGTTATCCTTCATGTTGTGTGTGTCAAAGAGCCTTAGGCAGACTGGTATAAGAAGAGGAAATGTGCTGCCCTGCTTTAGTTGCAGACCAACATTTTTTTTTGTAATAAAGAAATGTGACAGCCTGCTGCAAGATGTTTCCCCGCTGTAATAATAATCTGCCAGTGTTATTTTGTCTTCCTAATTAAACTGACAGCACGGAAAAGATTTTGGGTAATAAGACGTACACCTTCCTGATCACCCTGGACAAAGACTTAGGGGACCTGATGTTGCTCAAACTGCACTGGGAGGGGTCGGCCATGTGGAAGAACATGTGGAACCGGGTGCAGACCATCATTCCCTGGGGAGGCCGGAGGGGGAAGCCTACGCTCACTGTGGGCAGGATCAGCATTAAAGCAGGAGACACGCAGGAAAGGTATACCCCACTGCATTACAAGCAATACTTCAATGTATAAATGAAAAAAAAAATTGCTCAAGAATAGTTTGAAGGTGTTGCATTTGGATGCAAATATTGTACCTTCCTCTCCCCTACATTAGTTTGACAGCTTTAGTTACCAGAAACTTGCAGATTTAGATTATTTATTCAAAATATAAAATCAGTTATATGATAAATGGAGATAGCCAGCTAGAATCTATATCATTCATTACAAATGGATTCATTTTAATATCAGTAGTTAAACCATGTAGAGTAAAATATTTCAACAAGAATTACAAATATTCAAAATGAAAAATGGCACCACATAGATTTTACTGTGAAAACAATATTTAAGTTCCATTATGGGAATATTTGTGACTGTTGCCTTAAGATGTTAACAATACACTATGTTATAGCTAGTAAAAGTGGAGAAAATAGTTAAACAAATTTAGTGAATATTGGCATTTGATTACAATTGATTGTTTTGAGAATGTGCACAGCTTATCAGGTTGTGTTTTTTTGATTGAGAATGTTACTCTGCAAAGTAAAGCTGTCATAAATATTGGAGGAAAGTATTATATGACTTCTATGAGTATAGTGGGGCAGAAGTATAAAGTAGACATGACAATGTTCAAGTAAACTAGACCTAGAAATTCATAAAAACTGTAGATTGAGAAATCCACTGTGCATAAGAGGTGGATCATTACTGATTAAGGTTTACTGTTAAATGCATATATTTAAGACTGCCCCATATAATTGACTATTTGAGTAAACTGTGGCAGTTTTTAAAGCATTACAATAACATGAAATACACATGAACACATTTCATAAAGAATAAACGGTTTTAGATAGAAAAACATTGTTGCAGTGTCCCTCTCTTGACACCTTCGCAGACTTGTAATGCCACCTAGTGGATTGTTTTGCAAACACAGAAATTAAACGGTTTATCATGATCGACTCACCGCACTCTGCTCACTTCACACCCACTTCTGTTTTTCAAGGACGTCTTTTTGTCCGATGACAAACGATGGACAGCAGGTTGAAGTGTCCCAGGACAAAGTGTTTGTGCGCTGTAAAGAAGAAACACCAAAGCACCACAGAAGAAGACACCAAAACAGACACGTGGTTCCTTAACCTGGTGGGAGGATCTCTGATGGATGCCATTACAAGTTCACAATTAGAGAAAAACACTTTAAAGTTAGGCTGTGATAATTGAGTAAATAAGAAATTATAATATGCCTGGAAGATGTGGCACTGAACAAATAATGGTGATGTTTTAAAGAAGAATTCTGGGAAAGTTTTGCTAGGTGTGTTTAAAATATAACATGTTTATGTGACTAAATTATTAAGTATTGCATAATGTAGTTTTAAGAACAATATATACATGTGTCTACATACAGGAGAACTTTCATGGAGTTGAAAGTTAAATTATTAACCAGACTGTGGACACTGACTCGTTCAATGACCTTTTGATGACGGAGAGCGTAACTGTATGCGTGTGTGTCATGTGTAAAATGACTCATTAACTAAAACAATAGTCTTGCCCAAAAAGTCATATAAATACATTTGTTTTTTCAAACTCAAACCAGAGCAATAAATACAAGAGCCTTTTTTTCTAATCTGTTGTTGGTTTGTTTTTGTTGTCTTTAACCTCAGAAGCAGGATTAATCAAATAAACACAACTTCATGTCAGAGCAGCCTGTCAGGCGATCAGATCCAAAAACCTGACTAATCAAGGCTGTACTTAACTTTCAGGTGTAAATAATCATGACTGTAACATAAACAAAGTGTATGAGGCAATCAAATCTGTAGAACAATCATAGTGGGCTTTTCAGAAAACAGTAAAGAAAAACTATTGATCAACTCTGGTTTATTAATGCATTTCAAGTAGTTCAAAAGAAATAATATTTTTGCACAATGACTTTTCAAAGTAAGCAAAATGAGAAAAAAGAACAAAAAGGTAAATAAAAGACACTGTATAAAACACAGGAGACATTAAAATCAGACAGAAATACTGAATCTAAACCATTTTGCATCACTTACACTCTAGTGCACATTTCATTAAATTCAGAACATTTAAAAGACTGAACAACTTCCAGAGTATTTCCCCCTAACACCCAGTGTTGTCCACATCTTACCATATCAACAACACAAGATAAAGATGATTTTGCAAAGCAGATCACACACGCAGAAAAGAAAATTAAAATGTGCCAAAGATAATGAAAAATACACCTTAAGACCCAATAAAAAGCACTGCCAGTAGCACCAGAAAGGAAAGGAAGTCGGTAAATGGAGCGACACAGGATTGCATTGTAGTCTAGAATGCAGCACAGAGACATGAGTGAAGATTGAACATGGTTATGAAAGCAAGATTATTATTTCATGTACCCATTTGGGATAAAACATCGAAGGCATTTATCTGTGAAGAGGCTAACTTGTTTGCTGTTACTCTGCATAGAATCTCTCTGAACGTCAACACAACATCCTGTCTCCCTGCACAGAAAACAACGCCGAGCTGCAGCCGTGCTCCATACAACTCTTTTGCAAGGATAAGAAAAAAAAGATCTGTCTTTGCTTTACCAAGTTTACCCCAAGTATACATACATACATACATATACATATATATATATATATATATACATACAGATATACATATATATATATATATATATATATTACTCATGCCAATAACTCGACTCCACTCTCATTCATACATCAGTGAAATTAAGTTTAATCTGGTTGGAGGCTACTGAAAACTCCATTTAAGCCGGGCAATAGAAGACTATTATTCAAGTAGATACAAATTAAAATCTCTCAAAAGATCTGAAATAAGTGTGGATTATTATTCTATGAAAATGTGTGTTTGTAACATTTGGTTTTCATGCCGATATATGACAATCATCCCTTACATTTCCTCTTATGATTACCATACACTGCCAAGCCCTAAACACTTCCAATATGTATTTCCACTTCAGCAGTCCAGGTTGATAACAGTGCTTGGACAAACTGCCAGCTGATGCATGATTTTAGCCTCGATAAAAATCACTGATACTTCGCTAACTTCAGTCACACTGCCCCGAATAGGCACATTTTAAATGCAATTACACAAACCAAGAGGATGTAAAAATGGTAACAAAATTCCTTGAGGAAATCAAGACCAGTAGGAAAGTAAAAGACAGAAGAGCTGACACACAATGATTGATCGCTCTGTGAACAGTAGCAAGAGAGTAACAATATAATTAGAAGCTCTACGTTTCGTCAATGTATTCAATTCCTCAACATATACAAATAATCTGAACTGCAAGTAAAATCAATAAAAGCTAAATCACATTTAAACCAGAAACATTTCTCATTAAGAGGATTCAACTGCTTTTGAGTGGTTTTAACATATTTTTGTCATTTCGTAAAACAACTGCCAGTGTGTGCAATTTGAGAGGTGTACATGAAAGAAGTGAAAAGGTGGGCAGGACATTGTGGGACACTTTTTTTCTGTAATAGCTTCTTATATATGCATATCTCTTTGTTCCAAGCGTTACTCACTTTCCTTGTTGCTTCAACTATTCCGACTAGAAAAAAGTTGAGTGTGACGAATCAGAGCCAAAGCAACAAGTCCAGAGAAAACGGCTATGACAGAAAAAAAGCGTGTTCCAATCAGGATGATAAAAGCTATTCTCTCACCATAGATGTCATCCCCAGACTATATCTCTGTGTAAACTCAACTGCAAAACCATATGACACGAATATACAGACCAAGATAATCAATCTCCCCTCCATCGGATAACAGATGACAAAATAATCTTGTTAAGCTTTTTTTACATTCTTTTCATACAACCTGTCCTCTAAATCCTGTGGCAGCTAGCGTGGACCCTTATATACAGCCTTCAGCCAGGAGGGACTTCACCCTGAAATATGCATGCAGCCATCTTCTTCACTAAATACACTTGTTTGCTATTGTTTTATTAATCCTGAGAAAGCGAACTAAAACAGTAAATAATCTTCATTATAAAGAATTTCATTTGAAACTAAAATAAACCTACTGCCACATCTGAACGATTGTACGCTGGAAGAACATGAGAATTAAAAAGAAAACTTGATGGTGTTTTGAGCTTTTCAAACAATCTAGTAACATTGGCAAAAGATGTTTTTCTGTTTAAATGTGTCATTGCTGTTTTTGATGGCAGTAAATACCTATGGGACTTGCAGTCCTGCCATCGTGCTGAAGATGGCAGCACTTCAGAGTGGAAGAGCAGGAAATGAAAAAAGAGGGAGCACAGATCAAGGACAGAGGAAGGACTCTTACACAAGCTGCTTCACTCTCCTTCATTCTGATAGAAAACAAAAACACGTTCAAAGATTAAGACCACATAACAAAGATCAGTGAATTTCTGCTCCTGTTTTTCCTTGGAAAAGTTATTTATTTACTATAAAAGCTGTGTGAACCACTGCTATTCTGGCTCTTCGAGCAGAGGTGTTTGTTAGGCCCAAAAAAAACCTTTGGGCTTTGTTCAGTGAAATCGATCCATTTGCAAGATCTTTGAATAGGTTGTTAAGGTAACTCTTTGGAGTGAAGTGCTCCTACTGTAGGCACTAGGAAGACCCAAGACAAAGAGCAGAGCCGGTTCTCAGCGTCTCATTTGGCCCATCTGATAGTTCTCTCTGGGCTGGCGGTGGTGGCGCTGGCCCTGGCCCTGGCCCTGAGACAGAGCCTGCTGCTGCGCCTGCTGCTGCCTCCTCCTCTTCAGCGTACCTACAGGACAGCAACATCAAATTGATGAAGGTAATACAAAATAGTCTATGTCCTTAAAAGTAACACATCAGCCACAAAGGGACCATTTGCAAATGCCTTACCGCAGTTTTATTCTTAAAGACATTTTTTCCTCGTTTTTTTCCAAAACATGTGCAATTTCATTAAAACCTCACAATTTATATAATGTATATATGTATGTTGATATGTATGCATATGTACATGTGTAGACATTTGCTATTTCAAACAACCCCTGTGTACTTTTTATTTTTTATTTTATTTTGACTAATTTTGTTTACTATTTCATTTGTCACTTTCGGGTCTCTAAAAATATATGATTTGAAAAACTGTACTTGTATTATAATGTGACCCCAAATAAGTAAAGAATAAAAAATAAAAAAACTCAATTTAATTGAATTAGTATATCATATTTTGAATTAAATAGTAAGATTGAGTCTTGATGCATGTGTTGAGGAAGTTTTGAGCATAAGGCTGTATAAATCAGATTTGGATGATGGTGTGATAATGTGTTGTATGAGCGTTTCTAAATGGATGTTTTTATCATTATTCATCAAGACTGTTCTCTTTTTTTATTCTTAAATGATTAAGGAAATATTTTTTTAAAACTAAATTTTCTTCAAGAATTTAACATGACATACAAATGGATATTTAGTTGGTGAAGTATTCTTTTAAGCTGCACTCAACAATCTAAAGTATGTGGATATTAACATACATGTAAATACAAAACATGTACTGTACCTGGCAGTGGCTTTGGAGGGGGCAGTTTGGGGTTGCTGCTGGGGGTGTGGACGCTGCAGATCTTGATGAAGCCGGCCATCAGCATAATCAAAGCAATTCCCATCAAGAGCACCGCCCACCAGTGAGCCTGTAAAACAATAATATTTTAAAGGATATCTAAATACAGGCATATCAATAGTTTTTAATGTGTCATGAGGTCGACAAATCGTTGCTGATATCAAGACACTCACCACTATCCACTCTGCAATATTTTCATAGAGTTCTGCATTGAAAATGGCTTTCTTCAGCCTTGCCAGAGGCCCGTCAGCGTCCACCAGACGACACCTCATGAACACATCACAGTAGCCCTTAAAGTCGTTGCAGGGGGAGCCGGGCTGCAGCGTGGTGGTCTTCTTGTTGAAGAATTGGACCCATTTTTCTGAGCCTGTGCTGCTGCAGGTGTTGGGCTTCACTGAGGGCAGAGGGAGAGGGAGTCACCACTGAGATTCACACTAACTCTATAAGAATAACTTAAAAATGAAACCTTCATTTGAAATGACCGAGAACAAAGTCATTAAGGTCATATCAATAATACAGTGATTGTGTTCCAGCCTGTCACTTACTTTTATCCATGCAGCACACGTGGCACAGCTCAGCGGCCTCATCCTTGCTTTCTTCCATGGCACAGGTGCAGACCTCCAGACCGTACTTCTCACAAATGGATCCAGAGCACCCCTGGTCCAAACAATAAATAGTTTAAAAAGAGTTCACAAACAACGTATACCAGACACGAAAAAGCAAGAGGTCAATAAACATACCCCATTGAGGCAGACTTGTGTTTCCGAATGGCAGGAGGTGAAGTTAGCCTTTGGTTCGGACGAAGGACACAGAGGAGTAGCTCCGTTGCACGTTCCCTGTTGGGCGCACTCCGACTCCTCTCTGCACTCGGCGTTTGAGCCCTTGAAGGAACACTCTGGTGTGCAACAGGGGCCTTGGCTAGGACTGCGGGAAAATAATTACAAATGTGCAATCAATGCTATGCTGAGAACCCTTACCCTAGCAATACTTGTGCCAAATACACCAACTACAGGCTTGAATACAGACATGCTGATC